AGAGTGTCCTATGACAGTTCCCTTGATATAATAAAGAGCTCAATGAAACAAGTTGTCACTGGAAAATCTCGGGTCCCTAGAGTCTAATCCTCCAAAGTGTTTCAAGCTCACATACAATTAGGTGGCAGAATTAAATATTATATCCTGCCTGACTTGACTTACAATAAATTGAGACTATAACAATCACCAAATCTTTGAAATGCCTGTACTGTAGTCCTACCATAGAGAATGATTACTCATGGCTGGTGGTAACCGTCTGTGGTATGCGGCGTTGAAGTTCCAATGGTAGATTCGAGATGGAGTTGAATCTTGATTCAGTAGAGTGTATCCTGGCAAGGTCGCCACTTGTGAAGGCTTACTCAGCCCTGTAACAACTTGAGTCAGTATTACTCAGGCTGGCTCCTCCTCAGGAAAATTAGTGAATAGAAAAAGAAATAATAACAGACAAACATAAACACTTTATTATGTAGAAAATATAAAATATAAAACACTTAAATATGAAATATTAATCCTGCATTAAAGAAAATGAAAAATGAAAAATATAAATGATAACTGAATTCAACGCTAATAGGGGTGTCTGATGTTGGTGACACTGTTGTTGAAATCGTAGCCGTTGCTGATGATGGGGATGGGGGTCGCAGGTGTTGGTGACCACCACTGGCTAGTTCTTCACAGAAGATAGAGACTTGAATATTCTATCCCCATGACAGGAAAGCAGGTTCTTTACCGCTGCAATGATGAGGGGTTACGTCCTGCAATTTCATACAGGTACACAGGTACTTAAATTCAAAATGGTGAAGTCTCTGGACGTTAGTCCTTCTCCTGTTCTGCTCATTGATTGCCAGGTGACCCTCTCTGACATCCAAGAGTAGAGTTGGGAGCTGTGAGTCTAGTGATTTACTGTTTGACCAGAGCCCCACACGTCACCTTTCAGGGGGGGAGGTGGAAGAGGGAGGGGAAGGGATAGCGGGAGCTAGACTGACCCTACGTTAACAAGCAGCCGGCAATCAAACTATCACTTTAGGGGTGGGGGAGAAAAGGCAGGAAAAACGGGAGCGTGACTTACCCTACCTTAACTAGTAGCCGGCAGACAAACTGTCAATTTAGGGGTTGGGGAGAAAAGGCGGGAATATCGGGAGCTAGACTGACCCTACCTTAACGAGTAGCCGGCAATGAAACTATTGTTACTATATATTCCCTCTCTACTCCTATCTATTGAACTTTTCCCTCACACTCACCAATCACCTTCTTCATCGTATTACCTAATATCTTTGCAAAAATCTTGTAGTCGGAACACATTAGTGAAATAGCTCTATATGCACTTAAAGCTCTCCCCACTTGCTTTTTGCGAAACCAACACAACCACTCCAATGCTTCGTGCCTGACCTAGCTTGCCTTCCCACAGCATACAATTCATGACCCCCATCAGACAAGTCTTAATATGCTCCCAATGAACTCTATAAAAATCAATTGAAATCCCATCGATGCCCGGCGCTTTGCCAGTACTCATGTTGAACACTGCCTCCACAACTTCCCCCATGATAATCTCTCTTCCCATCTCCATCCCCTCCTCCCCTTTCTGCCCTAACCCACACCCCCCTCAACACTTCCTCAAAAGCATCACCATCCCCCCCTTTCTCCATTTCTCTTGAAACCAGAAATCAGCATAATTACGCACGCCTTCTGTAGTAGTAAGCACCTGACCCTTATGATATACCGCCCATATCCTCACTCACCCCTAATTGCAAAATAGTTGATTCCTTCTGCCTTACCCTAAAACGTCTTAAAACACTTCCCGAAGGTTTATCCCCCCACAATACAGCCTCCAATCCCGCCCTCACATGCACTGCATCAAATCTGTCATTATGTATTTCCGACAATCTACCTCTAAGTTGCTCTACGGTCCCATACTGCCTCCCCCCTCCCTCCTCATAACACTCATTCAGCTGACATTCCAAATAATTCTGTAACCCATACCTCCACCTGGCCTCTTCCCACCCCTATTTTTAAAGAATCCAGCAATACCTGGCTTAGCTCGCTTCTCCCACCATTCCAAGACACATGACCCCACTTCCTTTGATCCCCAAAAAGAGTTCCACCAATCCCCAAAAGCATCACACACCCCCTCCCCATTCACGAGTCTCGCATTTAATTTCCAATAACTAGTGTGTATCCTAACCATACCCTCCCAATCAAGATCCGCAAGAACCGCCCTATGATCAGAAAACCCTACATCGAAAGTCCTAACTCCCAGGATGCATATTGCCTCTCTAGCATAGAGCCTATCCAGTCGTGCAGCATAATCCCTTTGTACAAACGTATACTAAACCCTCCAACCGCCCCTCCCCACTACATCTAAAATGCCCACATCCCCCAACACATTGTGTAAAAACCCCAACACACACCCCGCCCCCCTCGGTTCCACATCACCCTAGCATATGACACAATTCCAATCTCCTCCTATCACAGTGACTAAGGCAATCCCCTCAAATAAAAAAGCAAAACATCCCTCATGAAAGTTACCTTAACTGTTGCATTTTCATCTGCCAGCATGTATACTCCTATAAAACAAACCCTTGTCCCACCCCACTCTCCCTCTACCCGCACCACCCTCCCACTTCCACCCTCCTCCCACCCCAACACACGCAACGGACTGGTTTCCTTCACAGCCACAGCAACCCCCCTTTTAACCTCACTGATCCACTCACATACAACTTATATCCCTTCAAACGCAACTCACATCCAAACTTGTAATTATGCTCCTGTATGAAACAAATATCCACATCAAATCTCCTCAAAAACCATTTCATCCACACTCTCTTAACCTCAGCTCTCAGGCCGTTAACATTAATAGTGACCACCTTGAATTATTACAATAAAGGCGGCTTTCCCGCCGCCTCTGAAGATTGCTCGAAAGACTTGGCTGTTGACTATAGCCACATTTGGCACCTGGTCTATCCAGACCTCCAATTTCCTCCTTTTCCTTTGACCCTTTCAGTACCACAGAACCGGTGCCACCATTCTCCGGGAGATCTATCACATTCTTCCAAGTTTTCTTTCCAGATCTCTGCCTGGGCGTTAAGACATTTTCCATATCAGACATTCCAGCTGCTCGTTTACGTGAGCCTCCTTCTCCACATGGTGCCTCAGCATCCATGTCCTCCTGGTGCACCTCAACCACCACTGTGTGCTGCTTACTCTCGTTGCACAAGGTGTCCTCACACTCCTGTGCAGCTGCTGCCCCCACCATTGCCCTCCCGTCCTTCTCCCCTTCCTGATTGGTTTCCACCTCCCCCAGGAAGTATTTCAAGACCTCGTCCAACAGACCATCCTATTGCAAGTCACTCCTGTCAACAATCGCATCCATAGATGTTCGCTCAGACACAGTTCCCACAGGTAACGTGGCGCACGCTCCCATCTCAGACTCCACTCTGTCGACTTCTTCACTCCAACTTCCAGATGCCTGGCCTGCAGCTTCACTTGTCCCAGGTGCCAAAGAGCCCAGCTGTTGCTCCACCGTTGTTGGTGCCTGTTCCCTCCTTCCCTGCCGTTGATGACATTGGGCCGCCATATGGTTGTAAGCCCCGCACAGCCTACATGTCCTGCACTATCCTGCATAATATACATAAACCTGGGTTCTGAACTCTTCCATCAGAACGTACGATGGTATAGGTTGTCTCAATGCCATCTTCAAGGTGAAAGATCCCTCTGGCAGCCCCATATAAGGCCCATCCTTCCACACTCCCAACTCCGTCGAATGGATCTTGCCAAATCTACGGAATACCGCCACAATATCATATTCCAAGGCCTCAAAGGGGACATTTCTCACCTTTACCCATGTTACATAGCTTGGTACGTCATGTAGGCAGACCTCCACTGCAGAATTAACGGTCATTCTCTTTTCTTGAAACACGTCGACTATGCTGGAGTAAAACCCAGCACTCTTGAACTTGATGAATATCCTCGACACTCCATTCACTGCTACACCATACAGCTTGTCATTTGGAATGCCGTACACATCGCGGATGATACTTGGCAGAAGCACCTGCATTGTAGAACTGCTCAGGGTACCACGTACCACCTCCACACAGACAGTATTTACCCGGCGTCCATGTCTGTCCGCCATTTTGACTGCTCAAAACAGGAAAACTGCGCAGGAAACCCAACGTAAGCAGGAGCGTCTGCACAGCAGGTCCACACCACCCGAGAGCGATGAGGACAATGACTTGTGTCCTATTACTTTACATGGTAGTAGGTTGCTAGACAACAACCACCCAGGGTGTTACTAACATCCTGTGGTAGTAGGATGGTAGACAATAACCACCCTGGGAGGTACTATCATCCTGTGGTAGTAGGTTGATAGACAAACAACCAGCCAGGGAGGTATTACCGTCCTGCCAAGTGAGTTTAAAACGAAAGTAGGATTTCTGATTTTTTTTGTGTCTCATAAACATGCAAGATTTTAGATACGTCTTGCTACTTCTTATACTTTGATCACACTACACATGCATGTACATACAAGCATTTATATACCCACCCCTCTGGGTTTTCTTCTATTTTCTTAATAGTTCTTGTTTATTTCCTCTTGCCTCCATGAAAGTGGAACAGAATTCTTCCTCCGTAAGTCATGCGTGTCATGTGAGTCAACTAAAATGCCAGTAGTAATGGGCTAGTAACTCCTCCTGTATACATTACTAAAGTTAAAAAGAGATTTTTTTTTTTGGGTCACTCTCCCTCGGTGGCCACCCAACCTCGGTGTCATACGACTGATTTGTTGAAAAAAGGTCCTAGAGAGATCGTCTTATTGAATGGTCTTCTGATATTTGGTACAAGTGATAAAAGTACTGATTATGTACACAGGTTATAATGTTGGTGACACTGTACACAGGTGATAATGGTGGTGACACGGTACACAGGTGATAATGGTGTTGACACTCTACACAAGTGATTATGGTGTTGACACTGTACACGGATGATAATGGTTGTGACACTGTCCACAGGTTGATCACCTTCGTGGGATGAGTGAGAGCATCAAGAGGCTGGTGGAGGCTGGCCTGGTGTTTGGTGTCCAGCAAGACAAAGAAGACCTCCGCTACTCCAAGATAACTTCACAAAATGGTGAAGTGCATCTCCACGCTCTCCAGCACCAACCACTACCCACCCACACTATCCAGGTACTTAGCTACAATACCACTCTTACTGTACCACCCACACTATCCAGGTACTTTAGTACACTTACTACTCCTATAGTATACAACCATCTGCTCCCACCCTCCATAAACTCCTGCACTAACACAATGGTATAATTCAGAGAGCTGAGGAGGAGTTGATGAAATGATTTGTACATTTAGAGAGGAAGGAACAGAATAAGATGACCTAGACGATGATTAAATCTTCCAGTGGAAAGCAGGATAGGGGTTGTCTTAGGAGATGATGGAAGGAGAGAATGAAGGAGGTTTGGAGCAGTAGAGAATTTATCATGTAGCGTGAGTATGTGAGCATCAGGTGATAGTTATGGGATTACATGTTACAGGAGGGAGAGCAAGATAGCATTTATGGAAGAATTCAGTGGTACTGGTTAGTCACACTCTAGTTCTGGTGCTGGGTACAAGTGAAAGATGGGTAGTGATGTTGATGTTGTGCATAGGAGGTTGGTACTAGTAGAGTGAATGTACTCTGAAGGAGTCGCGGTGGTGATGTTGTTGGAGAGACATTTTAATTGTGGTGTCTGTGTTTATCTTGCAAGACAGCTATTGAATTAATAATGGTGAATGTGTTTCCTTTCCTGGGTCAGTCAACCTTGATTCATGATTTCCAGTGTAGAAAAACTGATGTAACAACCCACACTCTTCCATGACCACACTCTTCCATGTCCACACTCTTCCATGTCCACACTCTTCCATGTCACATTTCCAGCCCTTTTCCATGCCACCCCCACACTCTTCCAATGACCACACTCTTCTATATCCACACTCTTCCATGTCCACACTTTTCCATGACCACACTCTTCCATGTCCACACTCTTCCATGACCACACTCTTCCATGTCCACACTCTTCCATGTCCACACTCTTCTATATCCACACTCTCCACACACTACTGTACCAGCACCTACCCACCTACACACGTCAAGAAATTAGAGAAAGTGCAAAGGTTTGCAACAAGGCTAGTTCCGGAGCTCAGGGGTATGCCCTACGAGGTAAGGTTGAGGGAAATCAGACTGACGACATTGGAGGACAGGCGGGTCAGGGGAGACATGATAACGACATACAAAATACTGCATGGAATAGATAAGGTAGACAGAGACAGGTTGTTCCAGAGAGGAGACACAGAAACAAGGGGTCACACTTTGAAACTGAAGACTCAGACGAGTCACAGGGACGTTAAGAAGTATTTCTTCAGTCATAATGTCGTCAGAAAGTGGAATAGCCTAACAAGTGAAGTAGTGGATGCAGGACCCATACATAGCTTTAAGACGAGGTATGACAAAGTTCTGGAAGTAGAGAGAGGACCTAGTAGCGATCAGTGAAGAGGCAGGGCCAAGAGCTGAGTATCGACCCCTGCAACCCCTACATTTGGTGGCCCTGGCGGGAGTAAATTCACAAGCTGAGGGCCCGGGCTTTTTTCCCGGCGTAATCCAGATTTGAGAGGTTTCATTAAAGTGTTGTTACCTAGCAGCAAAAGTCGGGTGAAGTGAAATGGTTGGCCAAAACCAGAAGGGGCAAGGGCTAAAAATAGAAATAATTTGAAAGCCTGAAAGAGCATGCCTTGGGAGTCCTGGCTGGGTCCGCAGGGTGTTGAATAACCAACAAATCTTACTTATCTTATTTATCCAAACCAGGGGAGTTTAAAAGCAACTCAGTGGACGGTTGGGTTTTCTGCTATCAAGGATATTGAAAGGGATATAACTTACAGCTTAAAGTCGGGAGTTGATGTGTATCTCGAAAGGGAAGCGAGGGTCATAATTAAATAATGAAAGCGAATCTAATCCAAAGTTCACTAAGCGGGATAGTGAATGCTTTAAAAATAACAAATTTATTGGATACAACAGGAGTTAAGTGCATCAAGACAGATGATTTGATATAAAGTGTTAGAAATAACTAACAGTTAACACTGGAGTCGTGTTTCTCTCGGAAGGCATCGGTAGCCATAAAATATAGAATGAAAGGGGTCACCCAAGTAATGTTTAAGTGCAAAAGCATGTGATAATGAACGTTTAATGGATCAAAATATTAGACCAGAGTAAGAAAAGTTGAAAAGAAGAACCACTGAGTCGTGGTCAACTGCGTTCAGCACTGCCAGCCGTCATATTGATAAGTTGGGGTTGCCTGGGTTGAATATTAGCTGCGTGATTGCCAATGTAAATGGAGGCTCATCAGACAGAGCTGAAGGGAACAGGATAATAAACCAGCCAAGTAAATTGTGCTTAAAATCCACAGAAAGGCACTTAAGTGGAGAAAGGTTTAACGCATTACTAGTGAAAAGGCCAGAATGGGAAATAACAAATATTTGAGCCTACATGACAGAGTGCATGTAACGGTTACTTTTCAACCACATACAGCTACCCCTCCCTAGCCCCCCCTAACCATCTCTCTCCTTATCAGGTGCGAGAAGAGGGAAATGGGTAGTAGTGAGGGGTAACCTTAGGCACACGTGCACGCACACACACACACACACACCACACACACACACACACACACACACACACAACAACACACACACAACACACACACACACACACACCCCAAAACACAACACAACACACACACACACACACACACACAACACACACACACACAAAACACACACACACACACACATACACACACAGCACATACACAACACCACACACACCACACACACAACACACCACACCAACACACACACAGTGTGGGTCCATGGGGTGCAGACGTGTGTAATAAGGCTCCGAGAACCTTAGCGTTGTAAGGCGTGCAATAACAGCTAGCAGTAATCAGTGTAGTGGAACGTCAGTGAACAATACTACGAGTGATAATTAAAGTTATTAGTTAAAGACAGTGAGAGGAAAGCTGAAATCATAATATTTCAAAGCGCAAACCGTTGGGGGGTCTTAGGCGCTGTTGCCACATTGGCAGCGGTAGGCCTGAAGAAGTGATGTCATGACAAGTTGTGTGCCATTATACTTATAAAGTGAAGTGTATATAATGTGAAGTGTATACTATCATCAGTGAAGAGTGAAACAGCGTGAGGAAGCGGGATGTATGAGAATATATGGTTATAAACATCACGGGTGAAGGATCTCCAAAATAGGGATTTAAGGCCTATGTACGACGACTTCGTCATCAGCAGCTGGCAACTGTCACCACATCATTGCAGCGCAAGTTTATTCGCCTATTTGTGATTTGCATGTTGACGGCCCTGGCTGGCCTTGCATACTGTTTGATACTGGTCACTCACTCCTGCAAGCTATTACCAGAATTAGAATAGAAAAAGCATAGACATAGTGAATATAGTGTTGACGAGAGTGAGAAGATAGGTGGGACAGCTTTTAAGGGCAACATTGTAAGACGGTGCTAGGGTCAAGTCCCAGGAGAAGTTGCGGCCAGTCATTACACGGCACAAGACACTCACACACACACACACACACATGCACACACGCACACAGGCAGTGTTACTACCGGTAGTTATTAGCAGTAAGAATACGTAGGAAGCTAGGAAGTCCTCTCTCAATGTGAACAAGGAAAATGATAATAACCAGCAACAATTAATATGTAAATCCAGAAAGGGCAATAAGTGGAGAGAGTAGCATAATTGGGAAATATAAATGAGACTAAATTTGTGCCTACACGACGGATCTTTCAACCACACCACATACCCCCCCCTAACCCTCCCTCCCTCACACACAAGCACACACACACAATGGTAGACACTCACACACCACACACACACACACACACACACACACACACACACACACACCCCACACACACCACACACACACACCACACACACACACACACACACACACTTTAATATATTTACACATATACACACACACATACACACAATAAGGAGTCGTTCAGGACCCTGTACACCGTGTACGTTAGACCCATATTAGAGTATGCGGCACCAGTTTGGAAACCCCACACCTAGCCAAGCATGAAAAGAAACTAGAGAAGTGCAAAGGTTTGCAACAAGACTATCCCAGGGTTAAGAGGTATGTCCTATGAGGAGAGGTTAAGGGAAATCAACCTGACGACACTGGAGGACAGGAGAGATAGGGGGGACATGATAACGACTTACAAAATACTGGAGGAATTGACAAGGTGGACAAAGACAGGATTTTTCCAGAGACGGGACACAGCAACATGGGACACAGTTGGAAGCTGAAGACACAGATGAATCAAAGGGATGTTAGGAAGTATTTTCTTCACCACAGAGTAGTCAGGAAGTGGAATAGTTTGGGGAAACGATGTAGTGGAGGCAGGAAACCATACATAGCTTTAAGCAGAGGTACGATAAAGCTCATGGTTTTAGGGAGAGTGACCTAGTAGCGACCAGTGAAGAGGCGGGGCCAGGAGCTTGACTCGACCCCTGCAACCTCAACTAGGGGAGTACAACTAGGGGAGTACACACACACATACATAAACAATACACCCCACACCACACAAGCACACACACACACACACACACACACCACACACACATACACATACACCAAAAAACACCACACACACATACCAAAACACACACCCCACACCACACACCACCCCCACACACACCACACACACACTCCAAACACACACACACACCACACACACACACACCACACACAAAACACACACACCACACATACACACCCCACACACACACACCACACACCACCCACACCCCCCAACCACACACACACACACACCACACCCCACACACCACACACACACACCACACACACACACCCCCATACACACACCACACACACACACACCACACACACACCCCCACACACACAACCACAAAACACACACACACACACACAACACACACACATACCACAACACACACACACACACACACCACACACACACCCACACACAACCCTCCACCACTTGACACAAACACTTGACACAAACACGTACCCCACCTCCCCTAACCACCTCTCCCCCTTCCCTAACCACCTCACCTTAGCCACCTACCCCTCCCCCAAACCACCTAACCCCTCCCCAAACCGTCTAACCCCCCAACTACCTCCCTCCCTCCCAATAACCCCTCTCCCCTCGCCCACAACCATCCATCCCCTCTCCTAACCATCTTCTCCCCTCCCCCTAACCACCCGTCCCCCTTCTGTGGAGCAATGGGGGAACCTAGAACCAGGATGAGGACAAGGGGCTCCAAGGACGAATCTGGGGGGGAGGAATGGAGGTAGAGCTCAAAAAAAAGGGAGAAAGACTGGGAAGGAGACTAGATGAGCTGGAAAGGAAGATGGAAGAGAGGTTTGCCCGCAAATGCAGAAGGTGGAAGCAACAGGCC